CTCCAGCCCCCCGCCCGCCCCCGTCCCTCCTCTGGCTGCTTTCGTTTTCTAGAAGCCTTTTCTACTGTATATTGTTATATAATGTCAGCCCGCTCTCCCCCCTTTTCTTTGAAAGGTCTGTTTGCTTTTCGGTCCCCGGAGATAACGCCGTTCTGGGCCGGGCTCCTGGGAGTGGCGGAGAGAGGGAGGTGGGGACACGTGGGAGGTGTGCCTGGCCTCGCTGCTCCCGAGCGTGGGGTGGGACCTGGCAGGGGGGGCCGCCGGTCATCCCAGGTGTAGCCTGCGAGGGAAGGGGCGACAGTCGATTTCTAAGTCCGCGGTAAACAGAAATGACTTTTTTCTTGCTAACAAGATGTAGGGCATCTTGTTCAGCTCAGTTGACTAAATCTTCTATGTAACTTCGCTGAATAATGAGTACTATTGGTTATTCTAGGTTTAAAAGTGCCTTGGGTGGATCATTTCGTATTTCGTCCTCCTTACATGTTCACTCTTGATTAACAATTTCTGTTTTACCATGAGGTTTCTAAACTCTTTACTTTCAAAAAAGTTCCAATAAAAAATGTCCAAAAACAGACAATTCGGGAACCGGTGAAAGAAGGAAGACCTTAGGCCTGTGAGGGAAAAGGATGACACCACGTAGCGGGTAACGTCTGATTCCAGAGACAATACTTTTGGACTTTAGGGATTTTATCCAGAAAAAGTGCATAAGTGTCTTCACCGTTTTCAGGAAAATCAAATTGGCCAGTAGCATCCATCCTCCTGCCAACTAATGAAAGATCTTATTTATTAATAGCCATTAGGTAAAGCAGTTTAAATTAACCACATTCCAAATCGATTTCAATTGCTCTTAGTGAGTCCAGCATTTGGAATGCAGCTTCTTAGGTAATTCCCGGTACCCTATGCTCATTGAAAGCTGTATTTACTTTTTCTCTTCCAGAATTTAAAAAAGCAATATATTTATAGGGAGTTCTTTGAGCTTCTCATATACTGGTTATTATGGGGCATGATAGTCCTTCAGTCTCCAACTGCTTCTATTGGGTAGGGTTAATTAAAACCTTTTTGTGTTTATTTACTTTTGCCTCTGATACGTATTAATAGGCTCTGATTTTGTACCTGGCGTTTGCTCTTCCAGGTGCTGTCTCAATTGGAAATGAATGATCTCTTGACAATGTAATACTTTTCACTCAAAGCCCTCTGACTCCCTGAGAGGAAACGTTTCCGTATCTGAACACTGTGCTGTGATGAGCAATTTTAATAGGATTGAGTTAGAACAGGCGAGGAGAGAGATCTCCGATGTAAGCTACCGGGCGCCCCCAGTCTGTCTCACACAGAACCCCGCGCCATTTCTGACTGCCTGTGAATTTTTCAGGTGTCTCCTAGAAGTTTAACTGTTGTGCATGTTTGAGACCAGTTGGTGGAGTCTTTGGGACCAGTTGGTGGGCGTCAGGGGAAGGGTATGGACAGGCGTTCAGAATGGCAGGAGACACATTCTACTGAGGCTGCTGTTGCTTGGCTGGTCCCCACTTGCAACCAGCCTTTCGTCCTTACAGATCCATGGAAACTGGAGGAGGGGGCACAGAGATTCCTGGGGAGTTTGCATTCTGTGTCAGAATCAGTACTGGCACTGGAGTGATGATGCCACGAGGCTTAACAGAAGTGCCGTCTCTATAATGCTGGCTTTAATCACAGGTGGTCCTCAAATTCGAGAGTACGTACTATGTTCCTAATATAAAAAAAGTTTTGAACAGATCCACATTGGCATTTTTGCTCTTTTCAGCAATCATAAGAATGGAAAAAATCGGTTAATTTTGTGTTTGCCTTGCAGTTTCAGCCACAAGTGGGTTTTATGTCGAATGGTGAACATTTCACTTTCTTTATAGACCCAAATCCCTATGCTATGGTTAGGGATCTCCCAGTTATTACTTTACAATCTTTTTTTCTTCATTCAAACATAGCTTCTAACCAAACCATCATAAATTCATTTTCATTTGATCTCTGTATGTGTTTTTTCCAAGAGTTCCCAAAAGTCCTCACTAGCAGGTTGTTATGGACCTTTCTCTGCATCAGTGTTGTGTTACATGACGACTATAGGAATAAACGTGTGCACTGGGATTTTATTAGCTACTGTTTGCAGCATCATTTTTGTGTCAGCTCTGTGGGAGTGTGTGTTTGTGTGTGTGTGTGTGTTTGGTCTCCATGGGTGTTGCTTCAACTAGGCAATTTGAAATTTCAAGAAAATAGGAGGCCCGTCCTGGCCTGATGCCTCAGTTGAGAAAAATTATGGGGCTGTTCAAACTATGGAATATAATGAGTTAGCTAAGAATATTTGTCTCTGCATTGCTTTTAAGTCCCTTATTTATCCCCGACAGAGTGAAATTAAATAACTTTGACCAAATTAATTTGCTAGAGATTCAAAGAACCAATAGCTTCATGCATAGGAAATGAAATACCAACAGGCTAATCATTGAGCAAGATCCAGAGGAAATGCCAGTATTGTGTGCTCCCTGCCTGCCTCTCTTCTGGCCTTCCTTTAGGAATTTATTGAGCATATACTATATGGTCCCCTATTTTGATTATTTAATTTCATGTTAGTAGAATTCATCATCAAACATTAGAATCTGTGTTTCCCAGACAGTTACAGAGAGGCAAATAAAAAATGTGAAAAGAAAAACAGAACTTCTAAGTTTAGTGTTAGACCTCCTTTATCTGCAACTCTTCTCTCACCCCACCTCTCGTGCCGTACCTTGAACATATGGACAAGGAAGTTTGTCCAAGAGAAATGAACTTACTGGAACTCAGCAACAGGTGCTGATACTGTCTTCATTCAATCTCTGGAGAAAGGCAGGGTAGAGATGATTATTCCCACATTGAAGACAAGTGACAGAGCCTTGGAGAGGTTAACTAATTACCTAAGGTCACACAACTAATTATTGGGAAGGCATCTGTCTGCAAAGCCAAATTGTGCTGCTTCTCCTCCAAGTATAGAATACTGGTTATAATACTGGTTAAATAGAATGTTGGTTAAAGGCATGGATTTTGGAAGGACAGACCTCAAGATTCTTACCAGCAGTATGAACCTGGGCAAATGATTTGTCTTTTTTAATCCTTGTTTTCCCAATCTGTAAAATGGGATTAGTAATATCTACCTTTAAATGTTGTAAAGATTAAATGGGAAACATATACTTAGTACAGTATCCTGTACATAGCAGGTGTACGTATTATTAGAGTAAACCTTAGAATTAGTCCTCCAAGTTCTCTGCTCACCCTTTTCTGAGAGCATTTTAAAGGAGTATGTAGGTTAATAAGCAAGTGTGATGGTGATAGCATATCAGGGCTGAAAAGATACAGAGTTGTTCAGTCTGCCATTAAAATCAAGACATTTGTGTGAGTCCCAGGAGCCTGTGTGAAGCCGTGTGGCTTCTCTGTTGCTCCTTCAGAATGGGAATCCTTCAGGGATGTCTGAGAACCAGACCCTGGATTTCATCTCCATTTTTGGAGCCACTATCCCAGAACCATGAAGACAATAAAGAAAGCTACTAGAAGCAACTTGATGCAACACTATACTCCTTTTCAAGTGGGGAGGGGCTGCTTCTCTTTTGGCATCTTTTATTCCTCACATGGAGCACTGATGAAAAGTGACAGCATTTCACAGCCGTATTTAAGAGGGAAAGGAGGAAAGCTGATTGCAGTACCGTCGAGACATCTCCCTGCTCCTTGTAGTTATTAGGAGTGTTAGCAAAGACTCTATGCAGCATCCCTAGAATTGGAATTGGAAAGGATCAGTGAACATTTACAATTTCTTTCTTTCCCTCTGAGGTACACACACGCATTTCACAGCCGTATTTAAGAGGGAAAGGAGGAAAGCTGATTGCAGTACCGTCGAGACATGTCCCTGCTCCTTGTAGTTATTAGGAGTGTTAGCAAAGACTCTATGCAACATCCCTAG